ATGTGAAATATGTATGTAGATGTATAATATATATAAATCACGGTCTAGTCATGGTCCTCCCATTGTTCATTGATTTGTTCGAGCAGGCCCAGTAACGCTCCATTGTGAGACTTAATTGTTATTGTGTTTGGCATATCGAATATGTCACAGGGAGCTTGCCAGGCTTTGCTGTGTGGGCAAGATACTCTCGGTAGCTTGCTGGGCTCTCCGAGAGGGGCAGAGGAATCGAACTCAGGTTGGCCATGTTGGCTGCATGCAAGGCAAATGCCTTACCTGCTGTGCTATCACTCCAGTCCTATATATATATATATATATATATATATATATATATTATTTACTGACTGTTCACCGGGGACTGGAGCGATAGCACAGTGGGTAGGGCATTTGCCTTGCACACCACGGCTGACCCAGGTTCGATTGCTCCACCCCTCTCAGATAGCCTGGCAAGCTACTGAGAGTATCTCACCCACAGGGCAAAGCCTGGCAAGTTAACCGTGTCATATTCAATATGCCAAAAACAGTAACGACAAGTCTCACAATTTGTTGTGAGACGTTACTGGTGCCCGCTCGAGCATTGGGAGGACAGCGCTACGGTGCGACTGTTTACCGGGAAGAAAGCAGAAGTGGTGAGCAGAAGTCTGATATATGTGTGAGATGCTGGTGGCACCTTGGCACTGTTGCATCTGGGAACCAAACTAAACCATTGGGTGTGCAGTGCTGGCTAAATATCACTGAGATTGGCTATGGGTCCAAGGTCCCTGTCAAAAAGAAATACCAGTACACACTAATGTAAGTTTTTATGTAGTTACTAACGTTATTTTTCATTGTAATAAAGGAACAAAAATAAAAGAATATTTTCATATGTAATTGTAAGGAATATTTTGTTTAGTCACAACTTTAATTAATGATAAAATTTCTCTGTATACTAATTATTTCAACCTATAAGTAAAAGACATATTCCCATTTAATAGAGAAATTATCAAGATTTTAGATAAACTCATCCCATTATGTAATTAATCTAATTACTCTGATGATATTATTTTCCATGTTTTTCAGTTGATTTCTCATCAAGGTGATAAAAGTGTGGTGTTTCATAACTAGCTATTATGTCTTTGTTTATATGGTTTCCATTGATCAGAATACAGTATAATTTCCCATTTTGAATTTAAATTTCTTCCTAATTTTTAGTTTCATGTGAAAACTGTGTTGCCAACAGTCATTTCCTACACAGTGTATGTTCCATAGGTGTCCCAGGTGAGATAAATTCATTTTGTTTTTCTCAGTGTAGTTGTCCCAGGCTATATGCTTGGTGATTAATAAATCTTTGTAGCATAAATGATTGAATGAACATAAAAAATATTGACAAAAGGCAAACAGTTCAGAGATTTTCGATGTCTCTCATTATTTGATCTTAACTGCCAAAAGGTAATTAGCTAAGGAGGAAGAGTAGTCTAAGAAAATTAGTGTGAATTGATAGAATTTATTATTTAGTTAATAAACATGACTGTATCACTGTCATCCCATTGTTCAATGATTTATTCAAGGCACCAGTACCGTCTCTATTCCTTCCAGCTCTGAGATTTTAGCAGTCTCTTCTTACTCATCTTTATAAATTAAACATAGAGAATATAAAACAATTTACCGGAGCAAGGTTACACATAAAGTTATAAAGTTGTAAATATTCATCAGGATGTCATTAAAGTAGACTTAATGGGGGAAAGACAAAGAGCACATGGAACTCTAAACTTCAGAGCTTCAAAATAGAAAATGAGTAAAAAAAGTATAAATAAATCAGTTAACAGATATTAACTTCTAATATCTATCTTATACATAGTTGTGTTTTTAAGGACTATGTATCTAAACGGAATATAAAATTATGGGGGTCTAACACTCAGAAATAGATATAGAAATAAAAGGAAAAACTAAATAACTGCTGTGGTAATATTAAATAAACCATTATCAGAGCTTTCTGAAAAGGAAATCAAACTGTAAAAGAGTATAGTCTTCCTATCAGGTAGATTTCAGAGTCATTCCAAGTTTCCTAGAGGCAAAATAAAAAAGAAATCAGATCAATTTCATAATTTACAACATCCATGATAAAAACCAGGCAATTTACTCAGGAGAAGTACAATTATCCTTAGCACTAAAACCAGGAACAAATTTTTCCCAAGGGTCATAATAAAACAGATACTGTAAAATATAATGAAATATGCCTTCACAAAATCTCTATGATAGACAGCATTAAGAGTTTCATAGAGTAGAGTTTTTATGGAACCTCTTACTATATACTGATGAATTCTATTGAATTCTGTGTGCAGTTTAATAGAGTCATAGATTTTTGAATAGCTAGAAAAATAGATGGGCAGAAAAACCATTAAATTTTCCTACAAAAGCATCTTCTTACTGTAGCTCTTTAGAGAAATTTTGTGGCACTAATTTTAGAACATTGTTCACTTTGTTACTGTGTACCTCTAACTTACAAATCTTATACAACAGGCACAGAAATGGCACAGAAAAATGAGCGACTTCTATGAAATCAGTTATGATGTGATGCCAACTAATTGAACTTAAATGCATCACATGATCAAAAAGAACATAAGTGATACCACTTTCTTATTTAAAGTAAAGTTATTTCAAACCACGATTTAATTCCAATGGCATACCCTTAACATGGCTCAGTTTCTTCATAAAACAGATTTGAATCTGCTTTAACAGAATAATGGACACTTGCTTAATGTTCTATTATTAGTCTGCATATGCATAATTGCTTTTGGGGGATTGGGATTTGTTCTGTATCTCTCAGATCTTATCCCCCATATATGTCCTTTGGAAAACTCTACAATAACAATCAATTTTAAACTAGGAGCCAGAGAGATATAGAGTATAAGAGTTAAGATGTTAGCCTTACATGTAGTCAATCTTGGTTTAATTCCTCTTACCACATGGTCCCCTGAGCAGTCCTGGAGGGAATATAGAGCTAGTAGTTTCTACAAAGCTTCACTATGTATGGTCCAATTTACAGACACCCCTATTAAAAAGCTTTAATTATGTTTTTCTTTGGAATGGTGAATGGATCAAAATAAAATACCACAAAGTCAGATCCCTTTTCTCTTTAACCATGTATCAGCAACAGACATCTAGACATCTTTCTTCTTATTCTTATATTTCTTTAAATGTTTGAAAAATAGAAATATTGTAAAACTGTTTCCAAAATTACATTGCTTCCTGAAAAGATCATTGGTACATGCTTTCTTCAAATATGCATTGCTCAATTACTCTATTTCCAGATCTAGAAATAGAATTAAGGTTTCAAGAGATAGTATAGGCATTTGCCTTGCATGTGGGAGATCTGAGTTTGATACACTGATTCTCACCAGCAGTGTTTTGAGCTCAGAACCAGGAATAAGCCCTGTGATTATTAAGTGAACCCAATTTAACAATGGCAGCAAATGCATGGTATTTTTCTCAAGGAACTTGAAGTTTTTTGATAATATCCCTATATGGAATATAAATTACCCTAAAGTTGGGTAACTTCTGTCTCAGAGCTACAAGCATTATATACTGTGCACATATAGTAAAGAGGTAGTTTATTGCCAGAGGAGTGTCTGAGAGTTCAGGAGTTTCTGTATACCACTGGAAGTGTTTAACTGAGTTTTGATAGATAATTATCAGAATTGGGAAAATACAATGGTTAAAAGTAATCATAAACAATAGACTGAGGGAAGGAAGATACATCATGTATCATGGAGAATATAATAACAAATTAGTTTTAGGGGAGAAGAATACAAATTAACAATAAAAAGAAATAAAAGGAAATGAAATATTCAAATATGGAAGATATTAGGTCTTAAGAAGTCATCATTGGTAAGCAAAGAATTTGAACTAAAAGATAAGAGGAAACCAAAATAAAATAAAACAAATACTTTAGGGCAATGCTATAAAGACATTTATGTCTTAGAAATATTATTCTAGCATAATTATATATGATTTGCTCAAGCAGGCCCAGTAATGTCTCCATCATGAGACTTGTTGTTACTGTGTTTGGCATATCGAACATGTCATGAGGAGCTTGCCATATTGGCCGCTTGGAAGGCAAACGCCCTACCGTTGTGCTGGAGCGATAGCACAGCGGTAGGGCATTTGCTTTGCACGCAGCCAACATGGCCGACCCGAGTTCGGTTCCTCCGCCCCTATCGGAGAGCCCGGCAAGCTACCCAGAGTATCTAGCCCGCACGGCAGAGCCTGGCAAGCTACCCATGATGTGTTCTATATGCCAAACACAGGAACAACAAAAGTCTCCTGATGGAGACGTTACTGGGCCCGCTCAAGCAAATCGATGAACAACGGGATGACAGTGACAGTGACAATTATATATGATAAAATAGGGAAGTAAAGAATATAGTCAAGCAGAGTAATTAGGAGGTTATGGCAGCGATCAGGAAGACTATGAAAGGGATAGTGAGTAAAGTAAGAAAATGTTATGAGGGGATGGAAATATTAGAGATAATAGAAGAGTGGAAATATCCTATATTGTGAATTTAATGGCACTCCCCATAATTCTTTTACCCCTTCTGAATAAACAATGATGCACCCATTAGTGTTACTTCTCTCTAATTCATTCTTACTTTCTAATTCACGTATAGTCTCATTTAAGAATTTTTGTAATACTACTCTTTTTTCAGATTCACCAAATCTTACACAGAAGACCACTTGAAACTTGAACAGTTAATCACTTAGTACATTCTGTCTGCATAACAAAGCTCAACATTATAATCCCTCAGTTATTACAAGATCTGTGCTGTCTTGGATACATTTACACTTCAATTACAATTACAATACTTTCATCTTAACAGAGTCTAGTTTCTGAAGGATTAAGGCTCAAGGATTATGTTATAATGAGAACAAAGGTTATTGACTGCTTTTCTTATTTCTTTCTGAGATGCGTTGCTAGCTAAATAAAAGTAAATCCGAGTTTATGTTAAGATGTTTTCTCCCTGCAGGAAAACATAATGGAAGTTATGAGAAATCAAGAATTTTTACTGCTTCCCGCTGAGGAGCTCCATAAACTCCTGGCCAGCGATGATGTAAATGTTCCTGATGAAGAAACCATCTTTCATGCATTAATGATGTGGGTCAAGTATGATATGCAGAGGAGATGCAATGACTTAAGTATGCTACTTGCCTTTATAAGACTCCCACTCCTTCCACCACAGGTGGGTGATACTATAAGAACAATAGACTGAAATACTTTATAATAAAAGTGATATCATATAATGTTTATTATTTACTTAGACTTTTGTTTTCACCTTACTTTTTATTTTATTTTTGGGGGGAGGGATTGTGTCACGCCCCGCAGTGCTCAGGGCCTATTCTTTTTTTTTTTTGATTTTTGGGGGCTCATATCTGGCAATGCACAGGGGTTACTCCTGACTCTGCACTCAGGAATTACTCCTGGTGGTGCTCAGGGAAGCATATGGAATGCTGAGAATCAAACCCAAGTGGGCCGCATGCAAGGCAAATCTGCTGTTCTATCACTCCAGCCCCAGGGCCTATTCTTAAATCTGTGTTTAAGAGTAAGTCCTAGTGACTCTAGTGATCCTCAAGTGACCATATGTGGTGCCAGAGATTTAAACCTGAATTGATGTCTCTAATCACATGCAAACCAAGTGTCCTGAGTCTTCCTATTTATCTGGCCCTTAAATATACTTTATAAGGAAAATTTGATACTGAGAAATGCTGTGTTAAGAGTCATGTGTCTGAATTTGTTTTTATTCCTTATTGAATTGATTATGAGCATGTCAATTTTTTGAGACATTTATCTTCTCTGTGTATGAGAGAAAATTATGATACCACAAAAGTTTTTATGGGGGTCAAACTACCTAACACAGTGACGAATCTTAATGTGATGTTTAAAATATTTTTTGACTGTGGAAATTCTTTATTTCTACTTTCCTATTTTGAACATCAATCAATCCATCTATCTATAATTTATGCATCTATCAACTACGCAAAAGAGGCGTCGGTGATGTCGGTATCCTTGTCAACACAAACTTAACCATGAGCATTGATTCATTCGAATGCCTAACAACCCGAATAGGATGATTACATAGATGTGGCTCACTGCCGGCAGCTTCTATCTTTGTTTTCTATGCACCAACTTCCAATTATTGTGAAAGAGAAATTGAGAAGTTCTACATAGAGCTGGAGAAGTTCTATAAAGAAGATCACACCTTCTACAAGATCATTGTCGGTGATTTTAATGCCAAGATAGGACCAAGAAGATCAGCCGATGAACTCTACATTGGGACCCATGGCCTAGAATGGAACAAAGAGGGTAACAGACTGTCTGAGTTCATCATGTCAACCAAGACCTTCCATGGTAACTCACAGTTCCAAAAGGCTGAATCTAAACGTTGGACATGGGAGTCTCCTGGTGGATGGTTCCACAATGAAATAAACCACATCATATTCAATTGGCTGTTTTGCCTAACCGATGTTGCTGTTTTCCCAAAATTCCAAACGGGATCGGACCACCGTCTCCTTCGTGCAAAATTCTATCTCAGCAAACGGGGAGAAAAGAATGCAAACTTTAAGAAGACAACTACCAGAATGACCACCAAATGGGAGCTCTTTGGCTCTGTTGCGCATGGGAAGATGCCGTCATTGACAACATTGATGAGAAATACGATCAAATTGTGCAAGGTATGTCAAAAGAGAGATAACACAAAAAACTGCCTTGCTTCGAACACTCTTTAACTTATTTGCCAACGTGGCTTGGCATATGCCTCAGGCAACCACAAGCGAACGTCCGAGCTGGAGAAACAATGCAGAGAAGCCATCAAGTATGACCTCAAAGACAAGAGAACAGCAGTGCTGGTAGATGTGGCAGAAGCCAGGGAAAAGCATTCGTAAAGCCCGCCTGTCCTTCACCAATTACAAGACCAAGATGACTGCCCTCCGACATCCTGATGGATCTATCACATCTTCCAGAAGGGCAATGGAGAAGATTATTCATGACTTCTCCTCAGATCTCTTTAATAGCCATGTCCACTTGCCCACATACCACATTCCGCACGATGGATATATCGTTCCCAATGTTCTCCCTTCCGAAATTAAACATGCCATCTCATCAGTAAAGAAACAAAGAGCACCTGGCCCAGACAAGATCAGACCTGAACACCTGAAGAACTTATCATCAGTACTCATCAATACACTGGCTCAGCCCTTCACACGCTACCTGTCTGAAAGCAAGGTTCCATCCCTATGGAAAACCAGCAAGACTGTACTACTATACAAGAAGGGAGACATCCACGACATTGGCAACTATCGCCCAATCTGCCTATTGTCTGTCATCTACAAACTGTTCACTCGAGTCATCCGAATAGGATTAGCAGAACTCTAGATGAAGGACAATCATGTGAACAAGCTGGATTCTGAAAAGGATTCAGTGCCCTTGACCATATCCACACGATTACTAAGCTCATTGAGGTTTCTCAGGAGTTCAAGATGCCACTCTTTCTAATGTTCATTGATTTAAAGAAGGCCTTTGATTCTGTTGAGACGGAAGCTGTCACAGAAGCCCTAGCCAATCAGGGCGTACAAAGTCAATACATCAGGATCCTTCATGAACTCTATTACGGATTCGCTACCAGAATCTCATCATTCTATCAAGAAGTAATCATCCATGTCAAGAGAGGGGTTCGGCAGGGTGATACCATTTCACCAAAACTCTTCAGTGACACCCTCGAGAACATCATGCAATGACTATAATGGGAAGGAATGGGAGTAAAGATAGATGGTGGGCAACTACACCACCTCCGCTTTGCTGATGACATCCTTTTAATAACACCAAACATCATGCAAGCGGCACAAATGCTGACCGACTTTGACCGTGAGAGTGGAAAGGTCGGACTACAGCTGAATCTTACGAAGACAATGTTTATGAGAAACAGCCTCGTTCCTGATGCCCCATTCGCTCTCAACGAAACCACCATCTCCGAATGCAACAGTTACATATACCTAGGTCAAGAAATCAACATGATGAACGACCTGGCACCTGAGTTGCGCAGGAGGAAGGGAGCGGCTTGGAATGCCTTCAAGAGCGTTGAAGGAATAACTAAGAGGACAAAGAACCTCCAGCTACGAACAAATCTCTTCGATTCCACTGTTTTTCCTGCATTAACATATGCCTCATAGACCTGGGCCCTACGAAAACAGGATGAGAATGCTATTTGGGTCTTTCAAAGAGGAATCGAAAGAGCTATGCTTGGAATATCATGATTCACTCAAACGAGAGATAGAATCCAGAGTTCTGATCTCCGTCAACGCTCTAGAATCAGGGACGCTGTCTCATTTGCCAAGGCATCAAAAATCAGATTGGCTGGACACATAATGAGTTTTACAGACAACCGCTGGACTAGAGCCATTACTGACTGGATTCCATGGGACGTTAAAAGATCACGTGAACGCCCACCTACAAGATGGTCAGAATTCTTCGTCAAGACCCTGAATGATCGGTTTGAGGCTCTGCATGTTCCTAGAACGAACAGATACCATTGGGCTACGCTAGCACGCAACAGGGATGAATGGAGAAGTTACTGGCACCCGCTCGAGTAAATCGATGAATAAGTGGGTTCAAGTGATCAAGTCATCAACTTCGCATCATATATCTATGTACTTTGTGTAATAATATACCATTCTAAGATATATATCACCCATGCCCATCAGCTGTGTATCATTTAAAACTCAGATCATAGTATTTTATACTTCCCTAGAAGTATATGACATGATACTGAGGGTAGAGAGCAAATGCAATGATGAAGTATTTGATAATTGGCTAAGGAGAGAATAGGCACCAAGTTAACCAACTGCGCCATTTCATTGTGATTATGTGGTATACAATTAATGTATAAAAACACCAGGGGTTCAGTGGGATAGCTGAATGAACCTAAACATATGATTGGTGTGTAACAAGCCTGGGTTAGGACTCTGGCTCTGCAAGTTCTCCTGAAATCTGTTAGGGAAGATCCCTGAGCACCAAGCCTAGAGCATACCATTGCATAGCTACCTGTGGCTCTATAACTGAAAAAAAAAAAAGACCGAAAACCTACAAATAATTTTAAAAATTTCACTTAGATCATAAGAAAACACTTTTCAATAATTAAATGTCATCAGTCATTAAATTGTAATGTTTCAATCTGAGTTCTCTCTCTCCTTGGGCTAACTGAAAACGGGCAATAAGGTGAATTTGACCTTTAAAGTAATAAAGTAATAGATAATATTGTGGGACCTGAGAGGTAGTACAGTGGGCAAGGCACTTGCTTTGCATGCAGCTCACCCAGGTTTAATCCCAGGCAATTTATATGGTTCATGTAGCATTTCCAGGAGTAATTCCTGAGTGCAGAGCCCGAAGTAACTGCTGAGCATTGCTGGTTATGGCTTTCAAACAAACAAAAATGAAAAAATAAAATGATAGATCATATATAGATACATTTTAAATGGGATTGAGGGTGTAATATACTTCCTGTTCCTTTACTTGTTTACTTTATTCCATATATCACTAAGCATATAAAACAGATTATTTTGACATTGAAAAAGCATGATAAAAAGGATTTATTTTTTACAACGGGAAGAATAGAAAGCTTTTTTATCTTAAAAAATACCAAGCTCAACAACTGAGGATGATGCTATGCGGATATTCCTCCACATCCCATGCCAGGCTGTCTTAACTCGGGCAACTTGTAGTCTGGTACATGAGTTTCCATCCCCACCCAAATAGAGCCCCAGCAGCTGAAAATCTCCAGAACTCAATCACTTCTATGTTCACGGCTTCTCTCCACAGGCTCGGAGTAGCCTTGAAGGAATGAATCTGCTGTGTAACTGTATTCTAAATTTTAGAATTCCTGGAACACGAGGCTGGGACCTCTCAACTCTACACCACTGATATACCAAAAGTAGCACACAACATTTGATGGTACTTAAAGTAGAAGGCAACCAATATCCTGGGGAAATTATACATGTTGGACGAGGAACCGGCAGAGAAACCCACATGTGTGGAACCCGGGGCTGAGATCTCCAAACCTGCTCAGTTTGGGACTAGGCCTCCTCCACCCAGCTCTGCCACCTTCCAGTAGCTAGACAGTTGCACCCACCAACTGCCGTGTAACCCCATCAATGGCCAGGATCCAGAAACTCTAAACCCAAGCTCTTGGAA